CACAATTTGGCGCCTCGAAATATGAGTGCCCGACTCGAACGGACTTACCACTCCTCCTCATTCGTAGAGACCTTGTTCTACCCCGGAACGACGTTAGTATTACATCGAGGTAGGGTCTCTATTAGTCATTTAAGACCTTCATCGGTGTGACCTGCGTCCAGACCCCGCTACTGTTGCAGGTGCTTAACCTTGCCCTTCATCTTGGTGTGACACATCTACTCATCTCCAGCTCTCTTCTGTCAAGGTCTACTTATTTCAATCTCAGAATCTTTTCTGCAAACATTTTTACGCGAACCCAATTTGTTCTGTTTTCAGTCATTTTTTCTGTCACCGTCCTTGGAGAGAACACCAACTTGCGCTGTTAGTGCTTCTCGTTCGGACAATCACTTATTGCATTCAAAGAAGGTGTGTTCTGCGGTATCATTCTCAGCTCCGCAATATATACAATTTGGTGCCTCAACTTTGCGCATGCGGTAGAGGTAGCTGTTGAATACTTCCTAATGTTAAATACGAGAAGAAATTAATTGTGAACAGCCGTAAGGAGAAATATAATATATTAATAAATATTAAAAAAAAGTGTTCTCTAATTTTTGTTGAGGTCGGCTTACAGAAATCATTCCTGGTATGTAAATAATAACTTCACTAGGTGATATTACAACTTTAAGTATGGCTTAGCTGTATATAGGATATGAATCGACAAACTGATATAAGATTTTATATTGAATCTAAAAAAAACAAAATGCTGATTGCTTTAGCTATTATTTATACACATAATTAAATGCAACCTACAATTCAATACGTCATTTAATTTTCATTATTATTTTCATAGCGATCGTCGATGCTTTCTTACAACTATTTTTAATTTTTACTTGGAATGTTTTTTATGTAATCAGTTATTTATTATCTTTATGATGTTGCAACAAACTTAATTTAAATACAATATGATAAACTGATAAACCTGAAATTGCCGCCCATGGGTTGACAACATAAAAACCTCGAACGACAACGTTGAGAGACATGAATCTCATATCTTTTCTTGTAACAATTTTCTAATTAAGTTTTGTTTGCTTAGTGCTTTTGAAGATACTTTTCAACTTTTTTCCCCTACAACATGCCTATTTACTTCACCTTTCTGGGAACTGATGCACTCCGCACTCCGTATCTTTTCTTTTTCATTGTAAATCTAATTTGTGGCGGCTCTTATCAGTGCGTCATTAGCAGTGCGCGCATAAAAGTTTGATAAAAACGTCTTTTGTTTCTCTAAATCGGTGCATGTTTGTACAAAATTTGACATGCATTTGCATGAATAAATTAATTTAAACCATTTAAACCATTTTATAAATATTTATCTTTTATTCAACATTTATGTTAGTTTGTTGTAAAAGAGTTGAAATTAAGAAAATAACAAGAAATCAAAAGTTAAGTAAAGAAGAGCAATAAACTTTCTCGGTGACCCAAAAAGATTAACATTTTGTTTACTAGGCGCTATGAGATTAGTTGTGAAAAGTTTAAACTACTCCAAAAGTCTGCAATTTGATACTCTTGTACTCTTGATTATGTTCTCCATTAGTAATATAATATAAAACTTAAATTGATACAACAAAATTCAGCATAGTAAACTAGTAGGCTTATGAATGCTTAACATAGACAATGTCTTTATTACAAAGTAGACTTACATAGTTGTTAATATTTTTATGTTTTAATGAAATGTAATTGAAAAGAAAACGCCACTGGTAATAAGGTAATTTTAGTGTAATTTATATATATTACAAAATAAACCCTCTCACTTCACCTATGCACGCAATGACTACTCAACTTAACTCAAATATGTATAGCATTTAGCATTAAGTATAAATAATTTGAAGTTTAAATCTAATGGATGTATTCCTGATATCAGGTTTAAAGAGTAAATAATATAGTAAAGCATGAACTGATTTACTTTTTAAATTGTAATGTGAGAAGCTCTCATCAAATTTCTAGAATATGTTCGTATGTATTTCTACTTAATGATCAAAGTAAACAACACTCAAAGTGCTAAAAGACAGCACTAAACACGAAAAAGCATATAAAGAAAGATAGCGCCGTATAAGTAGATAGCTAATAATATAAAACAAACGAAATTATTAAAAAAAAAAATAATATAATTAGAATAAGTTACTAAGAATCGTTACTAAAAGAATGAATAGTAATATAATTTTGTTAAGAAATTTTGTAGGAAACTCTGAAAAGTTTTTTTCAATATTAAAACATATTATTTTCAAAGTATAATAGAGTAACTCTTGCAACATTGAAGTCGAGAACACTTTTCGTAGTGAAGTACAGGGTCTTGATTATTTGTATACATATTGCTTGTTCTATTAGGATCTGTAAAGCTCAAATTGTTGGCACTCGTAGTGCCATTTTGTATATAGTATGCAAATCAATACCATATACCTTTTTACACAATTAAAGAATTACACAACTATTTTTACAAAAAATATAGCCAGAACGTCATATTTGAAACACATGTTTGTTTAACATAATCAGGTTAGTTTTGTATTTGGCAACACTAATTAAGTTGGCTACCAACACCATCTAGTGACAAAAACGGTAGATACTTTTTATATTACCTAAATAAGTTCGATGTGTGCGATT